GTCCCTCCCCTTCCTGCTGCTCCGTCGCCTGAGGAGAGGAACCCTGTCCGCCCGTTCCGTCCTCCCCGCACCCCGACGCCTGGAGCACCGAGAGCTACTTCTGTACGACGACAACACCCGAGAGGAGCCGGCACCCTCCTCCGTGCTGGGCCTTCTGCTGGCCAGACTGCGAGAGGACGGCTGCCCCGCCTACTACCTGAAAGGTGAGACACGCCCACCACTGCTCCGAGCCGACACGCCCACCTCCACCACTGCTCCCAGCATCTCCTCTGCCCCGCCCACCACTACAACCCCCCAGCATCATCTGCTACCTGAGGGGGCCTCACTGTCAGGGGCACTACAACTCTCAGGATAGCATGCCCGACCAGAGGCTGAGACTTGTAGTTCCCCAACAGAGAGCTCAGACTTCCTGTATACTGGGGGCCAACTGAGGACAATGACACGCTGACACTTGGGGGCCCCACAGCAATGACACGCTGACACTTGGGGGCCCCAGAACAATGACACGCTGCCACTTGGGGGTCCAGAACAATGACACGCTGACACTTGGGGGTCCAGAACAATGACCCCCTGACACTTGGGGGTCCCAGAACAATGACACACTGACACTTGGGGGTCCCAGAACAATGACACACTGACACTTGGGGGTCCCAGAACAATGACACACTGACACTTGGGGGTCCCAGAACAATGACACACTGACACTTGGGGGTCCCAGAACAATGACACACTGACACTTGGGGGTCCCAGAACAATGACACACTGACACTTGGGGGTCCCAGAACAATGACACACTGACACTTGGGGGTCCCAGAACAATGACACACTGACACTTGGGGGTCCCAGAACAATGACACACTGACACTTGGGGGTCCCAGAACAATGACACACTGACACTTGGGGGTCCCAGAACAATGACACACTGACACTTGGGGGTCCCAGAACAATGACACACTGACACTTGGGGGTCCCAGAACAATGACACACTGACACTTGGGGGTCCCAGAACAATGACACACTGACACTTGGGGGTCCCAGAACAATGACACACTGACACTTGGGGGTCCCAGAACAATGACACACTGACACTTGGGGGTCCCAGAACAATGACACACTGACACTTGGGGGTCCCAGAACAATGACACACTGACACTTGGGGGTCCCAGAACAATGACACACTGACACTTGGGGGTCCCAGAACAATGGCACGCTGACACTTGGGGGTCCAGAACAATGACACCCTGACACCTGGGGGTCCCAGAACAATGACACACTGACACCTGGGGGCCCTAGAACAATGGCACGCTGACACTTGGGGGCCCCAGAACAATGACACACTGACACTTGGGGACCCCAGAACACCATCTTCCATCATAATAACAGATCTCTGCGCCCCGGCAGTCATGTGATCTCTGCACACCGACACAGAAATAGATGTGTGTACTCTGCAATTTGCAGTTTTCAGAGACAACCTGCGGCACATTCCGGGTCGTAGCAGAACAATGTTGTTTCCTGATAAATGTGAGACGTTCATTTGTATCCAGAACCG